GTGCGTGTGTGTGCACGAGGCGGGGTGGGGGTCTGCCGCGGATAACAGAGCAGGCAGGAGGGGGAGAGGACGAGGAGAAGAGCGGTTGACTTGTTTCTAATTTTATCTGACTTATTTAATTTAATTTATATTGTTTTTATCATCCTGCAGGCTCTGATGGAAAATTAATTTGAAGCTGAGATTTTTTTATAAAAATCGTTAGATTACTCTAAAGCAAAATGAGGGAAAATCTGTGTCAATTACAGACATTCTGTTCACGTGAGCAGCTGTCAGTCAGCACCTGTCAACCTCCAGACGCACGACGGAGCGTATCTGAGGCAATCACTTTTGTTGACATTGATCAGCTGACTGATTTAAATACATCTTAACATTCATGAGGTACTTTGCATTGACTGTTTATGGTTGAATGTGGGCGTGTAGAGGGCAGAACCTGAGGCAGGACCTCGTGCGCAAACTCTGACATGTGGCTGTGATTTATAAAGGAAAGATGTGCAGAAACGTGCATACGCACAGTTATATAAATCTGAAATTTTTTTTGGCATACTCCATTTACACCTTTTGGTCGTACGTTCACTTTTAGTATGGTTTCCACGCAATCCGTTATAAAATGAGACCCCTGGACCTTAAATCTCCATGACCACATTTGGATTAGAGAACAAATCCTTTTCAAATGCAGTTAAAGAAGATTTACATTGCATCTGGTTCAGAGWCCCTGTCTACTTCTTTGGGCTGTTAACAGAGGAATCCATTCATCGAATGGTTTTTGAGGAATCCCAGAAAAGATCTCACAGCAACAAATGCTGCCTTCAGGACAACACATTTTTTTTTATGAAAATACAGGTCTTTTTCAAAGAAAAAAAACACGTTTTGTACATAATTGCAAAAGAATGGCTGCAGAAGAGGTTACAGGTTGCAGACCTGACCAGCCTGCAAAACTGATCTGCAGTAAAGACTGTGATTAAGATTAATGTTGATGAGGCAAAGTGAGGCCTATGATATAAACAGTAAAAGGCAGTGTGTGGAGAGTTACAGTACCAGCTGATAGTGGCTGAGTTGTTGACTCCCAGTAGGTGACCTCTGTTGAAGAGAAGCCCCGAGTCATGTTCTGGTTCTGAATGAGACCCATTTCACAACTCTCCTAGGGACACTCTGTTCAGATAAGACCAACCCAGTTGGATACACATGTTAAAGTCATTTCAAATAAAAGCTCCATTAACCAATAAAYATTCAGGACATCGTAGAAGAAATAAAACAATGCACACTTCTAACTCTCTCTCTCCTTGTTATTTATCCTCTCAGTTTATTTTCAAATTAAACTAACCCAAGGGACAGATTTTAGTGAAATTCCTAAAGTATTTATTACATGCACATCTACAGCTGCTTAAGTTTTGAGGTCAACTTGATCAAGATTCCCACCAAAGCAAATCTGTTCCAACACAAAAATAGCAGATTKTGTAAGAGATTTACTTAAAACTTTGTCATATTTGGAGGCACCTAAATATCTAATTAATTGATTTCTTAAAGTTTAACATTTGTTAATTCACAAGTAATTACTTTTGAAGTCAAGTGATCTTAGAAAATACTAAACTGGCAGCAGCTTTAAAGATATTAAACTAAAACTAGGTGTGGYAATAGTTGATAGTCATTTACATTTTGTTCATTTCAAGTTTTGACCAAAACAACGAAACTCTTCATTGTGAACTGATCTTAGTGACACTGACATGACAGGTAGGTTATCTGTTTTWTTAAAGGTATGCTAGGACTTTCAGGGCAACTATTTTAAGCTAAACAATTAGCTTTCATACACTAGAAACATTTAAGCAAATTKTATTTAGATTTTAGGCTATAGGCATACATGTGAGAGTCATGATGATGGATCTTTTGATTTAATGTACAAAGGTTAAATATGCTGTAGAATATAATCATTATTGTTAGGAAGAATTTAGTCATGTTAGCCTAAGAAAAGGTCTGACAGACCATTTCCCAGGTTGATCATTCACAGTAAAAGTTAATTTTCAATAAAAAATACAAACAAAAAAATGTTTAACTTCTTGAGGACATTTGAGTAATGAGCGTTGAATGGCTTTAATGAAATTTGTTAAAGAACCTGAAACTGACTCATCAAATTGTTACATTAATCTTAAAAGAAAAAAGAAAAAAAGGCAAAACAGCTAAACACAGTACAACAAAAGTTGAAAGGTTAAGTTGAAAAATATGAACAAAGGACAGCAGAACACCAGCTAAAAGCTAACGATAGCAAAACTGTAAYTTACAGCTAGAATTAATCTAATAAAACAGCTAAAATCTAAGTTAGCAAAACAAAAGCTAAAATTAGCAAAACAGTGACTAAAATATAATGCTAGCATAACAGTAGCAATAAATAAATAAAATTAGCATAACAGCAGCTAAAAGCTAACATTAGCAAAACTGTATGTTACAGCTAAAATTAGCAAAACACTAAATCTAATAGTAGCAGACCAGTAGCAAAAAAGTAAAATTTACATAACAGCAGCTAAAAGGTAACACTAGCAAAACTTTAATTTACAGCTAAAATTAATCTAAAACCACCAAARTAGTATCTAAAAGCTAAATTAGCAAAACAAAAGCTAAAACCAGCAGAACAGTAGCTAAAATCAAACATGATCAAAATAGTAGTTTACAAATAATATTAGCAAAATAGTGACTAAAAGCTTGTACTAGCAGAACAATAGCAAAATAATAAAATTAGCATAACAGCAGCTAAATGCTAAYATTAGCAAAGCTATAGTTTACAACTAAAAATTTACAAAACTGACTAGAATTTGTAGCTAAAAATTAAATGCAGCAAAACAGTAGATAAAAGCCACAAGTAGGCTACTCAAAAAAGTCACTGAAAGCTAAAATTATAGCTAATTGCTAAGACCAGCAAAACAGTAGCTAAATGCTTAAACCAGCAAAATAGCAGCTAAAAATGAAATTAGCACAACATTTTTAAAACTGTCAGTGCAGTAGTTAAAAATAAAAACCAGCAGAAACTTAAACCATCTAAAACAATCAAAACATTAGCTTATAGCTAAAACTATTAAAACTGTGTCTAAAAGCTAAAAAAGTAAGCACATAAATTAAATTACAAATAAAAAACAGTAAGTACTGTACATCTTAAAGTATAAAAGTTACAAAACCCAAAAGTCATAACAAGAATGAATAAGTTAAACATTTTTGTACCTTAATTAATTTAAAAGCTAAAATATGCTGAAGTAATGAAGAGTTTAAAAAATGTATAGAAAAAAACTGTAAAGAGAAAAKGATTTTTTGAATGCTGACTCAGCGTTTACACAGATGGGCATGAAGCAATCAATCCACAAATGAACAACCTGGTCAAYATACTTTAACTTTGAAGACAAACTGTTTTTGCTGCTGTTCAAACATGTCAGAAGCTCTACAGTTTGTCATTTTAATAAACTTCAGATCTAAAGTGTAATAAAGTACTGACCTTACAGTCCACTGCTTCTTTTTGCTGTAGTCTCTGCCGCTGTAATGAGGTAGTTTTTTATTTATTTATTTATTTTTTGTGCTCACCAGCAGAAAAGAATCTGCTCAAATCCCTTCATTATGTTCTTCAGAAGTGTGCTCCCCGCCGTGGACCCTTCTCAGACAGCCGAGCCTTCACAATCAAAACATCTCACTTTAGTGTGGGTTTGAAGGAATGTGGACATGGCAGAGGTAGTTCATCTGAACCAGTTAAGATACTGAAAATAAAGGCTACCAATCAGTGCAGATAAACACAAGCTCAATAAGTAAACTATCCACAGGACTTTGTTCAGCCTGTCTGTGAACCACCTCCTCACTATCACACCGGCTTCTGTCACTGAATCATTCAGCTGTTTAGGCCGAGCCGAACCCAACTCGAACAGCTTTACCTGTCTAGATACTGAAACTTCTTGGTAATTTTAAAAAAGCTTAAGCTCAGTCAGATTGGATTTAGGTCTGGACTTTGGGCCATTCTGACACATGACTGTGCTATAAATTGAGGAGTGTCCTGCATATTTAACCTGCTTCCCTGCTCCAATACACCTGATTCAGTGAATGAATTACCTCTTCAAGTTCTGCAGAAGTCAGTTAATCACATATTCATTCTGATCAGGTGTGTTGGAGAAGAGAAACCCATTCCRTTGTAGTACTGAGCAAATACTGAGCAAATTAAACGAGTGGGGCTTCTCCCAGGTGAAAAGTGGCTGAAATCATTGTTGCAGTTAAAAATATTGAGGAGTAACTCACTGGGTCACATGCTCACCTACATGTAATTATTGTTTTTTTTTTATGTCCTCCAGCAACAGTCTTCTTAGAGTTCTGGAAAAGACGCAGAGCTGTTCTCGCTTACGACTGGGATCTCATCGACTGGGAGGAAGAGGAGGTGAAGTGTTGTGGAGATATTTATTTAACAAGGACAGAAATACATGATCCAAAGCATRAAGGCACTTCGTAGAATGGTCATCGGAGTTTGTTTATTGCAAAAAGTGTAACAGAACTCTAGTTCTGTGTGCGCCGAGGCCGTCCGTGAGACCCACCTACTGTATCTCTGACATCCACGTTATCTGAACAAAACAAGCTCCCCGGCACCTATGACAGCCAAGAAGAGCATAATACTTGATAAACTATTCTAGCAAGAGTGATTGCTTGTAGCAGATCTTGTCCTGATCTTAAAACTCTTTGAGAGAAACCAGAAGATGAACAGTGGTGCCATTAAGGTCCGTGTACATTCAGGCAGTTCGTTTTTTCAWTTGAAACAAAAAATGAAAACAAAACAAAAAAAGACTTGTTTTTTTCGATTTTTGTTTATTGAACCAAAATGAAAAAACGGATTACGAACTGTTTCTAAAATGAAAATCCAATGACCAAAAGATACACTGACCAAGGAAAAAAAGGCTTGTTTTTGTTGTTTTCTATAACTATCTATTCCCCCACCAGAAGGGGAGATTGCCTGGCAGCTCTGCATAATTAAACATTAATTTATGTAAATAAAAGGTTGAAACACAGACGTGTATGTCCATAAATGAGTTGTATGATRACTGTCGCTCTGTGACCAAAGGCTTTGCAGAGGTAATTCATGTGGCTTTTGGCCAAATAAGTCTCTTTTACTGAATACATGTCGGCTACTTCTATTTCTCTCAATTAAAAGCTAAATAAGATAAATTTTATTCCATTAGTGTGTTGTACGATTGTAGTTCTGTGAGTAGAAAGTTTTTTTGTCCTGAGTTTTCCCATCCTGATATTCAAAATCTGTAGTCTACTTTTTTCTGTCAGTTTGCATCCTTGGAGTTTTCCTTTCAGCGAAGGGTGGGCGGTACCATGACTTCGATATTGATCTGA